ATTGTAAATTTATTTTTTCCTTTTCTTTTTTAGATCAGAAAATATTGTAAACTTGTTGAATTTATTTTATGATAATAATTAATAAGTGAGCAGCTAAAACAGGCCGAAGCCCAAATCCCAAAGCCCAAAGTGAGAAGCTTCTTTTTGGGCCTAATTTAGGTCACATTCTTTGGGCTGGTCGAAAATTGTAAATAGATAAATAAAAAGAATTATGGCTTAATTCCATTTTGCACCCTTAAAATATAGCATTTAAGCATTTTGCACCCTTGGAAAAAATGAATAGCACTTTGCACCCTCAAAACACAGTCAATCATTCGCCATGCACCCTGAATTGTAGGGGTGAGATCGGCTCGGATCGGGTCGGTTTTAGCCTAAAACCGAACCTGGAACCGAAATGGTCGATTCACGAAGAATCAAAAACCAAACCGGTCGGTTCATGTCGGTTCGGTTCTAGTCGGTTTTTCGGTTTTTTTTTTCAGTTTCGGTTTTTTTTCGGTTCCTAAATTTTCGGTTCGGTTTCTTAACGGTTCCGGTTTTCGGGTCGGTTTTCAGCCCTTTTTTTTCTCTAAACTAAATTTAAATAAGCCCAAAATATGCTAAAAATAATTCAGCCCATTTTGAACCAACAAAGTCCAAAAAGAAACGAGCTGGGGCGGGTTATTGGGCTGGGGCGGGTTATTGGGCTAGGGCACATTAAAATTCAGAGAAAAAAAAAAAATCAGGAATATATATTAGGCCCTATCAAAACGACGTCGTTTCGGATCGGTTCGGTACATCGGCTCGGTTAACCACTTGAAAAACCGAGTGTGAACCGAAAATTTCGGTTCGGCGGAAATAAAAAACCGTATATGCGGTTCTTGCTTCGGGACGGCATATTTCGGGTCGGTTTTTCGGTTTTCGGTCCGGTTTTTCGGTTTTCGGATTTTTTTTCCTCACCCCTACTGAATTGAGTATTTAAATAGACCAAATTACAACTACCCCTGAAGTTAGGTCAAAATATGAAAAACCCCTTTTTGTTTGCATAATTTCAGTCACCCCTCAACTATGTATTGTCTTACGAAAAAACCTTTCAAGTTGGTAAATTTAGAGGTGTTCATCCGATAAAATTGTACTGAAATTTCGATACGCCAAATTTTCATACCATTTATTGTACGGTTCGGTAAAATAACCGAATTATTTGGTAAAATAACCAAATTTTCATACCATTTTCATACCCAATTATTTGGTATTAATATTTCTATATAATATATAAAAGTTGAATTCCACACCTAATTGATCGACATTTGGCAATTTCAATTGGTGACGTGTCATCAATTTCATCCCAAGTGGCGAATTGATTGGTGGAAATAAATCATCAAAAAACATGTCACATATTTCTAAAATTAAAGGTAATTAAATATATTTCATTATTTTATTAATATATTTACACCTACCATTTATAAAATGTTCTAAATATAGCAACTTTCTTGGTAATTCTAAATAAATTTATTTTTGAATTTAAATTTATAATTAATTTAATTTGAATTTAGTTAAATTCAATTTAAAATCTTCCCTTATTATAATAGCATGATTGGTGGTATTACGAACTTGGATTTATATTAAAAAAATATTGCAGAATAAATTATTTGATATTATACATTTTACATGAACATGACCACATAATATGTTATTTTTTTACTAATTTAATATTATATATTAACATTATTTATCAAAAAAAAAAAGATACATGTTCGAATTTACTATATTCCGAAAATAAACACTATTTTTTTCTGCCATGTGTAGAGTAATGTAATCCCAATTATTTACCATATTGAAAATTATACTACATGAATTTCATTTATTATTATAACAATTATTTTTTCTTAACTGAATCCAGTGACAATAAATTTTACGGTTAATTTAACTTTTTTAAATTATATATTAATTAAAATACAAACTTGATCGTGATTATACTAATAAATTGAATAACATAAGTTAAGTTTTATATATTTCAATATATAACAATGTTATTCTAAATCGTTGGTTTTAAATTCGCTTATTCACTCCATTTAATATCAAATATTAAGAATATCAATTGTTTAGTTTAAAAGGTATAATGATCGTATATATTATATCGTATTTCACTAATAAGTATTTCATTATAACTCTGATAAATATAATTAAGTAAATATCTAGAGCAACTCCAACCCAAAAGTATCAAAATAAGTTTGCAAATATTCATGTGTTATTTAATATTTTATTTTGATATTTATCTAAACGTATTAGCTCTAACTATATGTATTAAATAGTTGTTGATTAAATATAATTAAATTTATTTATATATCTAACTGTCACATGTTATTTTCTAAATGGACACTGGGGTGGTTAAATTCCCAACTCATGTTTGATATTTTATTCTGCATGATTGCATAACACTGAGGTGGTTAAATTGACAACTCATGTTTGATATTTTATTCTGCATGATTGCATAATATATTTTTACATTCTAAAAGATGAAATATCAAGATACAACCCTCATTTCATAACACTATTGCAATTAAAAAATACTATTTTTGAGTATGAAAATGGTGGTTGAAGGTTTTGATAGCTCATTTAATAACCCCACTCGAGGTGCTCTTGCCGTAAATAGTTTATATTAACAAATACAATATCAATCGGCAAATCAGTAGTTTATACGATGTATTTTTAGTTACAAACTCAATAAGATATTTATATATTGCATAAACGACTACAATTTTATGAAATATTTGTAAACTGAAATTATTAATTGTATAGTGTTTATAAGAATCTAATATCTATTTTATATCTCTTTGTTTTTTTTTTAATCAAAGCATATTCGACTATTTACACAAAAATTCAATTAATTTTTATTTTTCCATTTTTTTATTTATATAAGCATTTTACAGTGACTTTTGTTTACATTAAATTTGATCTCTTTTCAATAGCATCAGCCTTTTTGTTAATTTCTAACATATGGTCATATGTGTAAATAAGTTTAAGTTGAATATTAACAAGGATAACTTATGAAAACCTCTTGAACTTAGGCCAAATTAAGAAAAATACCCCCACATATTCGTAATTACCAAAATTCCCCTGATTTTGTATCAATATCAGTTAGTAATAGTATTAGTATTAGTATTAAGAAAAACACTATTAGTACTAATACTAATTGTATTAGTATACATCATTAGTAAGACAAAATTAAGAAAAATACCCATTAGTAATAGTATTAGTATCAATATTACTATTAATAATAGTATTAGTATTAGTATTAGTATTAGTATCAGTATTACTATTAATATCAGTATTAGTATCCGTATAAGTATTAGTATCGGTATCAGTACCAGTATCAATATAAGTATCAGTATCGGTATCAGTATATGTATCAGTAACGGCATCAGTTTCAGTACTGATATCCATTTTATTTATATATTTTGTCTTGTAATTTATTATGTTACGTTATATTGTTATGTTTTTTGTTATTTTCTGATAATAAATATATCTATTGTTTAAACATATAAATTATTAGAGTCAAACATATTTATATTTAATAATAATAATAATAATAATAATAATAATAATAATAATAATAATAATAATAATAATAATAATAATAATAATAAATAAATAAGTAGATAAATAAATAATGTATTTATCTTTTGAACACTAATTCATTAATTAACACTAATACATTTTTTCATAAATATGTTTATAAATTGGTAATCACATGAAATTAGTTGATATAATAATTTTATATGTTAATTATTAAATGGTGATAATTACATCAAATCCTATTTAATTTCTATATTTGATAGAGAAAATAGGATTTAGTGGAAAAAAATGGTAAAATGGTGGAAGATGCAAATTTCTTCAAAAAAAAAAAAAAAAAGGTGAAAATATAGGATTTGGTAATATGCTGATATAGGTTTTGACTACAATGGGAGATTAAAACCAAATCATCATAATTTTAGGTGTAATGATAATTTAGTGATTTAAGTTGGGAGGTTAAAAACACCTAAATTAGGGGTAAAAAATAGAAAATGGTGTAGGGTGGAAGATGCCCTTATGGTAGGAGTAAAAATATAAAAGTCCATTTTGCAATATAAATTAAATACGAAGGACTTTTCCCCAATTTCCCTGCAAAAGCAATAATTTCTTGGGCAAATTACCAAAACCCCCTGAGGTAAGCCTAAATAACGAAAATCCCCCCCATGTTCTCGTAATTACGAAAACCCCCCTTGACTAACGGTTGACCGAATTTTTTTAACCGAAAACGTGAAATGTCTATTATATCCTTCTGTTAAATATGTAAAAAATAAAGGGCAAATTACCAAAACCCCCCTGAGGTAAGCCTAAATAACGAAAATCCCCCCGACACCCCTTTCAGTTGATGATTTATTGCTTTTATAAATTTATTTATTACTTTGTAATTTGTATTGATAATTTGATGTTATAATTTTTTATTTTTTTTATTTATATATTTAAATTGATTTTATTTATCCAGAGGAGTATTCATACGGATTTATGCTTTTAGCTTGAATGATGCATGGTTGTATTTCTCGAATTGTAAAATATTTAATTTTATATATAAAAAATAATTAAATTTTGAAATCTCATTCATTGATTTTTTTTAATCCAATAAAAATACATTGTACATTTATAATGATTGATTATATTTGGGTTTAATTTAAGAAAAATAAGTATTTTGGACATTCATCACCCCCCCCCTCCCCCCACTGCTTACAATTACCCCCTAAGGTTATTTCGTGTAAAAGGGCAAAATTGGTATTATCGGAGGAATATTCGGGAGAATCAAAAAGATTCTATCGAGTCTAACACCGTTAGAGCGATTTGTAAGACGTCTGCATACCTCAGGGGGGTTTTCGTAATTACGAGAACATGGGGGGGATTTTCGTTATTTAGGCTTACCTCAGGGGGGTTTTGGTAATTTGCCCTAATTTCTTCAATTTTGTTCGTCTAAAAACAATTAGTACTTTCAGTCACTGTGCGTGTGTGAGACTGTGTAGAGTGTGCCAAGGTAAAGGGTGGGGAAGAAAATACACTTGTGTGTAAATGCGCTGAAAACCTCAAAACAATTCGTGTAATTAATTCACAGCAAAAAAAAGGCGGAATTGAAGTAAGTTCTTCTCTTTTCTCCGATGATCTTTCGCTTATTTTATTTTATTTATTTTTTTAATTTTGAAGGGTTGATGATATTTCAGACTTCATGTTTTTGCGTGAACAATGTTTAGTGGGTAATCGTGATGATTCGTTTTTCTGGTTTGTGTTAGCACATTCATTTACAGAATGAAAATGCATGTCACATCGTTTCTATGTTTTTGATTTTATTTGATTTTTTTGTCTCTTCTTCATTTTATGTTTCTTCCCATTTTACCCCCCTTACCTGGAAACAGGAATCGAAGGAGTGATGTTTCGAAACAACCCTTTTTCGTGTCGGGATTTAAGAACTTGAGCTTTCTATTTGAGAAGGGCTTTTTTTTCTTTTTTTTTTTTTTTTTTTTTTTGTTGGGAGGGGGTGGGGGGTTTGGGTTTTATCTTACAGTGGGTTGATAATAAGGAGGTAAAATTCTTGATCCTGAAAGAAACTTCAAAATTTTGGAAAATGCGATTCGTCAATTGAAATATATCGTCGCGCAACCATTTTTTCGTGAAGGGTTCCATTTTACGGTTTCCTTATCATTTGTTAATTTTTTCGTGTTTCTGTGTTTCTGTTTGCTGATAATTTATCCACTGCTATGTTTCGTCAAACTCTTCGATTCCAAATGCACAGTAGAAACTATTCATGACTGGATGAGTCAAAGACACCTAATTATCTTTCGCGAGAAGAAAACTCGAGTTTTGCTGATCGATATTGATTTTTTATTTAATCCAACTTTTGTACAGATATGGGGGCGTGGGATTTTCTAGAGGAAGCCGGACCTAGCAGCAAAAATGACAAGTTCTCTAATGGCACCACACAAATGGACATCGATGAAGACATAGAATTCGATTCTTCCGAATCCGAAGACGAGCTCGACACTGCCATGCAAGAATTATCCGAAGGTTTCTTGAAAGTCTCCTGCAGAAAAGCCTCCACAGCTTTCTTCGACCAGTACGGTTTGATCAGTCATCAAATTAATTCGTACAACGATTTTGTCAATCACGGCATTCAGAAAGTGTTCGATTCTATTGGGGAGATAGTCGTGGAGCCTGGATACGACCCGTCGAAAAAGGGTGAAGGTGATTGGAAGAGGGCTTGTCTGAAATTTGGGAAGGTAACGCTCGAGCGGCCTACTTTTTGGACAGGCGAAAAGTTCTCGTCAGTTGACGGTGCGAAAGACTATTTGGAGCTTTTACCGAGGCATGCTCGTCTACAGAACATGACATATGCAGCCAAGATCAAAGTGGAGACTCACCTTCAGGTCAAAGATTGTTTATATCTTACTGCTTTTCAAAATATTCTTTCATTGTAATGCATATGTGGTAGCGTCCTGATTTTTTTTGCTGTACAATACTGATTTTGGAGCGAACTAATTCACAGATCAAGAAATTTTGCGAAAAATATTAAATGTGGTACAATCTGAAATTTATGGTAGTCGAGTCGAGGCATAACATTTGCGTTATATTTGCGTATTGCTCCATGCTTTAGTTTCACTGTTTGGTCATTCTAATCGTTGGCTAAAGAATATCTTGGTGATTTCGTAATTTGGTGTCATAAATCAGCTTTTATGATTGTCATCTGTCGGACTTGCCTTTTATTTATTTTATTTCTGCTTGTTTCTATTCAGTTTCTCCTTTGAATACTTGAAACTTTATTAACTTGCATCACTTTGTACCCCATCTCACCCAAGTAATTTGTACTGGTTTTCTTTTGGTTTTCGATCATTTCTGACGATTTCAAGCTAATGTTTTATATCCTATTTCTAAATAATTTACACAGCAACGAATTTTACTGAAAAATATCGAATGTGGTACTCTCTGATGATGTTTATGGTAGTCGAGTTATAGCATGTGCTTTATATTTGTGTATTACTCCATGCTTTGGATATAATATACGGTCATTTTAATCACTGGCTAAAGAATATCTTTGTGATTTCGTAATTTGATGTCATATGTCAGCTGTTATGATTGTTATCTGTTGGATTTGCCTTTCGATTTTTGTACTGCTTCTCTTTTGGGTTTTTGGTTTTTGATCACTTGTGACCATTTCAAACAATTTAGGTTTACACGAAAGGTCTCAACAGAAGTGACAAGTTCACAACTGGTGTGGAGAATACAGTCGAAAAGACGTTACTGAATGAATATCATAATGAAGTGAACTTTGGGAGACTACCTGTCATGGTCAAGTCAGACCTTTGCTGGATGAAATCACTCGACAAAAAGGATTGCGAATTCGACCAAGGCGGATATTTCGTCATCAAAGGCGCAGAGAAGGTGAGTCTTAATTTTCAAGATTTATTTCTTCCTGTTTGCGACAATAAAAATACCGTTAAGAGAGTTAAAATTGAATCATGGTTTTCATATTTGCAGACTTTCATTGCCCAAGAGCAGTTATGCCTGAAAAGACTGTGGGTGACCAAGATTCCCTCATGGACTGTTTCTTATCGCCCGGTTGCGAGAAGAAATCGAGTGTACATAAAGCTAGTTCCGAAAATGGAGCATGTTATAGGAGCAGATAAAATCCTCACAGTCTATTTCTACGTCACAGAAATTTCGGTTTGGGTTCTCTTCTTCGCACTGGGTATTCCTAATGATAAAGAAGTGGTAAAGCTGATCGATCTCGACATAGAAGATTCCGATATTGCAAACATACTCATAGCTTCGATTTACGATGCCGATAAAAAGTACGAGGGCTTTCGTAAAGAAGGAAATTCCTCAAAGCACATCAAAGAGCTAATGCAGAACTGCAAATTCCCACCCACCGAATCGATCGAAGATTTGATCAAGAATTACCTTTTCCCCCATCTCAAAACCCCAATTCAAAAAGCCTGTTTTCTTGGTTATATGGTCAAATGCCTATTAGAGGCTTACAAAGGGCGCCGCAAAGTTGAAAACAGAGACGATTTCAGAAACAAACGTTTGGAGCTGGCTGGGGAGCTGTTAGAAAGAGAGCTGAGAGTGCATATAAAGCATGCAGAGAGGCGAATGACTAAAGCCATGCAGAGGGATTTGTACAGAGATAGGGAAGTTCAGTCGATTGATCAGTATTTGGATGCTTCGATTGTGACGAACGGGCTTTCGAGGGCGTTTTCGACCGGTGCGTGGTGCCATCCTTTCAAGAGGATGGAGAGAACTTCTGGTGTGGTGGCGACTATTCGGCGGACGAACCCTCTGCAGGCCATAGCTGATATGAGGAAGACACGTCAGCAAGTTTCGTACACTGGACGAGTCGGTGATGCTAGATACCCGTAAGTTTTCTTTTTTTCAAGTATTATTATTCTGGTTTCAAGAATTTGATTTTCAAAATAAAATAAAATAAAATCTATTTTTACCTTTTATATACACAGAAAATCTTTTTTTCACTGAATAGACATTGAATATATTTTTTTTTGAGGCGTAGTAGTTTCTTATTATGCATCGAATTGGCTTTTATGCATATGTCGGTGAATTTATGTTTCCGTTTTTGTTTGCCTAGAGGGACTGTTGCTAAGATGTAAATAATAATCATTTCAATTGATCTAATGGCGGCTGTTATAATGGAAAATCATCATAAACACAATATTTGCCTCGTGACGAAAAGTGATGCTGAATTTGTAATGAAATATCTATACAGGGGTGGCTTCATTGTTTTATCTTGAATTTTGAAGCTACAAATCAGAATCTTTAGCTCTGAAAAATAATGAAAAATGACTGTTTTTTTTTGGGACATTCTACTTTTGTAATAATGATTGTTGACAACGATGTTTGCAGACACCCTTCTCATTGGGGTAAGGTTTGCTTCCTTTCAACACCAGACGGAGAAAACTGTGGGCTGGTTAAGAATCTAGCAAGTCTTGGTCTTGTCAGTACGAATCTCTTGGCACAAGGAAATCTTCTTAAGAAGTTCCAACAATGTGGGATGGAGAAAATGGTGGACGACACTTCGAATTTGCTCGGTGGAAAGCACAAAGTTTTTCTTGATGGCGACTGGATTGGAATCTGTAAAGATTCCTCGTCGTTCGTTTCTAAGCTAAGGCGAAAACGCCGCAGAATGGAAATTCCTCATCAGGTTCTCATTTAAATGTGCTTTTTGCAGGTTTTTTTCATCAAATTAATGATTGCCGTTTTTATATTCGAGTGGTGCCAGATCTGCATCTCTCGATTTACCACAGAAAAATAAAAGTAGCAATAGGAGAATAAGTAATCTTGTTTGGTTTTATATCATGTGCATGTTGTAGAACTAGGGGTGGAAATGGAACTGAAATTTCGCACCCCGCCTATTCTGATCCAAATATTTCTGATTTTGGAACAATATTTTTCATTCCGAATCCCGAAAGTTCTGATTTCCGATTTTTTCGATTTTTCTTTGGAACGGAATTGGAATACATATTAAATTCCAATATTTTATCCGACTTAAATTTCCAAAATATTTCCAAAAATTTCGACCCTTTTTCTGAAAATTACACTTATAATATCTATATTACTCCCTCCTTCCCATTTATTTGTCTTTCTAAAGATTTTTTTTCATTTCAAAATAATTGTCACTTTAGGATTCCAATGAAATATTTACTGTGTTTTCTCAACTATGCCCTTATTACTATTAAGATAATTAATGGTTGAACATTTAATAAAAGTGGTTTTTTAGTCATTTTATTATGATTTTTCTAGAATCCATGCACATTTATTAGTTTTCTTAATATGTGTGAATTAGCCCAAAACGACAATTAAAATGGAATGGAGGAGGTATTATGTATTGTGCATTATTATTAGTGACCGAAAAAATTGGAATTTCCGAATTCCTCAGATTCTGAACCAAAATTTTCCGATTTTGGAACTAGTTTTTTTATTCCAATTTTCGATTTTCCGAGTTTTTTTTTTTCCTTTTTTAATTCAATTGGAATTAGTTTTCCATCTTCTAAAAAAAACTGGAATTTTCCGAAAGTACTAAAAGTTCCTCTCTCTGTTGCAGATGGAGATAAAACGAGACCAGCATAATGGAGAAGTACGTATCTTCAACGATTCCGGAAGAATACTCCGCCCACTTTTAGTCGTCCAAAATTTGAAAAAAATCAAAGATCTAAAAGGCAATTTCTCCTTCCAATCTCTTCTAGACAATGGAATAATCGAACTCATAGGAGCCGAAGAGGAAGAAGATTGCCAAACCGCATGGGGTGTAAGATACCTCTTCACCGCCGAACTCGAAAACCCACCCGTAAAATACACACACTGCGAACTCGACAGCTCGTTCCTATTGGGTCTAAGCTGTGGTATTGTACCTTTCACTAACCACGACCATGCTAGACGAGTTCTTTACCAATCCGAAAAACACTCTCAGCAAGCAATCGGTTATTCAACCACAAATTCAATAATCCGAGTCGATACAAATTCCCACAGCCTGTATTACCCACAGAGGCCTCTTTTCCGAACCGTGCTCTCGGATTCGCTCGGAAGGTCGACATTTTCCGATCACTATAAAGGAATGATTCCACGCCCTGAGTTTTACAACGGGCAGTGTGCGATTGTGGCGATTAATGTGCACCTAGGGTACAACCAAGAGGACTCTTTGGTGATGAACCGATCCTCACTGGAGCGAGGCATGTTTAGGACCGAACACGTGAGGAGTTTTAAAGCTGACGTGGAGAATTCTGAAGCTGTGGGGGGTAAAAAGGTCAAAATGGACGAAATGGTCAGCTTTGGGAAGATGCAGAGCAAGATTGGTCGTGTTGATAGTCTTGAAGATGACGGGTTTCCGTATATCGGAGCGAATCTGCAAACGGGTGATATTGTGATCGGTAAGCATGCGGCGACAGGTGTCGATCATAGCATCAAGCTTAAGCATACTGAGAAGGGCATGGTTCATAAGGTCGTGCTTTCGGCTAACGACGAGGGGAAGAATTTCGCTGTGGTGTCGCTCAGACAGGTTGGATTTTCTTGATTTTTTTTTTTTTTTTAATTGTTTTGATGTATGTTTGGGTGGTGTGTGATTTTCTTGATTTATGTGTGCAGGTTCGGAGTCCGTGCCTTGGAGATAAGTTCTCGAGCATGCATGGGCAGAAGGGTGTTCTTGGATTTCTTGAGTCTCAAGAAAACTTCCCGTTTAGTCAACAAGGAATAGTGCCGGATATTGTGATAAACCCTCATGCTTTTCCGTCGAGACAAACGCCAGGTCAGCTTTTGGAGGCTGCTTTGGGCAAAGGGATTGCACTTGGTGGTGGACTGAAATACGCCACCCCGTTTTCTTCTCCGTCCGTTGAAGATATAACAGCCCAGCTTCACAGGTAATTACTATTCTTCCATAATTGCTCGGAAAAAAACACTGCTATAAATGAGCTCAATAATGGATTTGAAATTCCTGATCGAATGACTCAATCCAAACAAGTTTAATGGATTTATAATTATGGATTTGAAACTCTTCCCCTGAATCCTCCTATCCAAACGCCTCCTTAAGGTTGAATTTTGATGGAAGAATTTTAGTTCGGGATTTCAAATCCATGAATTACAAATTCATCAACTTGTTTGGATGGATTAATCGTTCGATAATGACTTGAACTAGTTTTTCATTTGAAATCCAATTAGGTTGTTTGGATCGAGTTATTTTTAGTTTTATTTTTAGGCATTTTGGTGAATTTCAATTTCTTCGCAATTGGAGTAGTTTCAAATCCATTCATTTCAAATGCCTCAATCCAAACGCAGCCTTATCAAATTCAATTTATTCAATAAAAAAAAAAAAAAAAAAATCTCGAGTCTCGACACATGACTATGTTTATTATATATGCTGATTTTTTTTAATCTAGGCTCGGATTCTCGAGATGGGGAGGGGAGAGAGTCTACGACGGTCGAACGGGAGAAAAAGTCAACTCCCTAATCTTCATGGGCCCCACATTCTACCAGCGCCTGACCCACATGGCGGAGGACAAGGTGAAGTTCCGGAACACGGGGCCCGTCCACCCGTTGACACGCCAGCCTGTCGCCGACAGGAAGCGGTTCGGCGGCATAAAGTTCGGGGAGATGGAGCGGGACTGCCTCATCGCCCACGGGGCGGCGGCGAACCTCCACGAGCGGCTCTTCACTCTGAGCGACTCGTCGCAGATGCACATTTGCAGGAAGTGCAAGAACATGGCGAACGTGATCCAACGGCCAGGATCGGGCGGCGGCGGGAGGAAGATCCGGGGGCCGTTCTGCCGCGTGTGCGAGTCCGTGGAAGATGTCGTGAGGGTTAACGTGCCGTACGGGGCGAAGCTGCTCTGCCAGGAGCTTTTCAGTATGGGGATTTCTCTTAAATTTGATACTGAGTTGTGTTGAAAAGAATGGAAAAAAATACTGCTGTGGGATGATTATGGACACGTGCTTCAATTTCTTTTTGTTTGTGGCTGAGGATGTATTTATGTCTGGATTTGTAGCTATTATGACATGGATGTGTGTGTGTGTGTGTGTGTGTGTGTGTGTACTATGTAGAATGTATTTAGTGGGACCTTTCTGACTTTCTTCATTTGGCATGCTTCTCTTGTTAACTTACCGGCTAATTAGGGGTGAAAATTGGAATCGAAATTCCGATTTCTGGTGATTCTGGTCCGAAATTTTTCGATTATGGAACAATATTTTTCAACTCAAATTCCGAAAATTCCAGTTCCGATTTTTTCGGTCTTTTTTGGATCGGAATTGGAATGTACATGAAATTCCAATCTTTGATCCGATTTTAATTTCCAAAAATAACTCTGAATATTCTGATTTTTTTTTTTCTGAAAATTACAATCATTATTATTATGCATTTTTATGTTACTGACCAAACAAGAAAAAACGAATTTCATGAATTCGCCGACTCCGATTTGGAAAATTTTGATTGTAGAATGATTTTTTTCACTCCAAGTTTTCTATTTTTGATTTTTCCGATTTTTTTTAAACGGAAATGCAATTAGATTTTCACTTCTGAATTTTTTTTCCAAAATTAAGCACCATGCAGAAAAGAAGTTCATTAAAACAAATATAGACAAGTTCTTTAATTTTCTCCCCAATAATACCTAAAATACCCTTGAACGGGATACAATTTCATCGTTGTTTTCCGATATAACCTCTTCGAATATTCTGCCTGTAATGGCTGCCGCCAAAGCAGTTGTGAAATCACGATTTCTGGACAATGAAGAAGCCATTTGTTCCACCAAAAGCTGATGCTGAATTTGATCACTGCTCTCATTTTTAGCAATTGCCTCTTTAATCTTGCTGCTACATGTGAAGGCATTTGCCACGTCATCAATGCTTTGTTTAGATCCCGAATGTGGGCCCCACTCCGAAGCTCCGGCCACTCCTTGTGGCGGCTCCGCTGAAACATTGGCGTGGTGGTGGTGGTGCTGGCCTTCGTAGGTGGCCACTAAGAGCGATGGATCATCACAGCTTCTTTGCACCTACAATTTAAAAATAATTATAAGCCAATATTTTGTTGATTTTTCCAGATTTACGTATTTTGTTTAATAATTCTCGAAAGATTTGATCTCGAAAGATTTTTATGCTAATAAATAATAACTTTATTAATAATTCTCTCTCTATATATGTTTTCTTTCAAGATCAAATCTTAATTTGCGTCAGAGGATTTTCGCCGACGAGTTACTACTTATTTGTGACGCATGTTGCAATCCACGCCTAGAGTATTACGAATTATTGAAGAAGATTCGACATTGATCATATATATCTATTTTTTGAAAACCAAAAAGGGAAAAATATGCATTTGTGACGTGGAATATAATACATTAATATTAAATTAAAATCGAGAATATAAGTCGAAAATGTACCTTCTTCTTGACGGGGCAATTTGGGGAGAAAGAGCACTTAAAATAAGCTCTAGGAGATGGATTATCCCTTGTAACCTTTTGTCCATATTTTCTCCATTGGTATCCATCCTTCACCACCTATTAAAATTACCAAATATTTAGTATAAAAAAACCCAAGGGTATTTTTGGAATAAAAATTACGACAACGTTTTAATAAATATTGAGTTAATTACACTTACGAGGCTAGTGTCGGATGGATCGATCCTTACGTGAATTCTTGAAACATTTGATTTAATTACTTTCGGATTAAAAAAAGTATTGTTTCGATTATTAAAATCGCCAAAATTTTCGATTTCGTCGGCCTTCCTTTTCCTCGTTTCGGGCAACTCCTCATCGGATTGATTTTTCTTCAAATTGTTGTAATTTATGCTCACAATTGTGAGCATTTCGGTCAATTTCTTGTTCTCGGATTTCATTCTATTTAGCTCCTGGATTAGGTGATCGTGAGGCTGCAAAATAGTTCATATTCTACTAATGTTAGCAATTTAAATTTTCAAATAAAAATCGATGTATAATTAAAAAAAAAAAATTGTTCGGAAATTGTTTCGAATATCATAAAAAAATATAAAAAATAAAAAGTAGCATAATCCACTAGAAAATATCATAAGATCTAATAATTTGATAAAAATAATATAACGTGGCAAAAAAAAAAAATCCAAAATTTTCGAGAAATTCGCCTACCGGCCGATTTTCACTAGGGTTTTGCATGGGGTTGGTGTTGAGGTCAATAGTAAAGGTTGAGCTTGACAAAGTTTCATCCATTTGAGCTTGTATCAAATAAGTGATTTGCAAAAGCTTATAAAGATATATACACTTTAATTGTAGGATTATCAAGAGAAATGAATGGAAATTAGGTATATATAGTAAAGAAGGTATATATATATATATATATATATATATATATATATATATATATATATATATATATATATGTGTGTGTGTGTTTTTGTGTGTGTATAGATATAATGAAGATGTTGAAGTGAAGTCTTTATAGTCAATGGTTATAATAAGGAGAGGAAATTTGCAAGAAATTGAGGTGTTTTGAGAAAGTCGTGATCACTTAGAATTATTTTTTGTCTATGACTAGTCCAACAACTTTATTTAGTGTAGCTAATATTCCAAACTTCCAATATTATATTATTAAATGAATATAAAATTCAATAGACTATGACCTATATATCAAGTCTTGTTGACCCCAAAATTGCATGTATATTCTTGTTAACGTGAATTGTTAGAATTTGGAGTATAATTTCCTTTTGCTTAAGGAGGTTATATATTGACAATTTCATGCAATTTGATCTATTCGCCTACTAGAAGTTTTGTTGTGTGAAAATGTGAACAACATAAAACCGACACGTTATGAAATTGCAGATGTTACACCATGTAAAATACAGTATTATCAAACGTTACGTCGTACGTAATTTACTCTCAAACACACTTATATTATATATGTATATGAATGTGTACAAAGGTCTCGTAAGGGATAATCTATCGGTTGGAGCAAGTGAGTCAGTGTCAATTGAACAAGGTTAGAATCCCCTTGTCAACAGTCGCTAGATCGAGCTTGTCACACATGATTAGACAAGTGTGGTTTACATTTCTCGTATGGTTGATCAACTATTATATGAAGGTGTACCCAGTGCACCTATATGATTGGCTGCAGCTGATTCATTTATTACAAAAAAATGTGTGCGAAGTTACACGTATATATGTGTATAGCTCAATTGGTTCGGGGATGGTTAGTTGGTGCAAAATCCTAAGATCGAGTACTGACAACTAAACTATGAGAATTTCAATTCCAATAAAGTTTGATTTTTTATGGACATCAGACCTAGATCCGCTATCCTAACGGACTCCTATGTAACATGTAGAACAAACTCTAATGACATATGGATCATTAAAAGAATTCACTAAAGGGCATTAAAAGAAAAAAAAACACGTGTCATCATGACGTTTAATTGCAACGTCGTCATAACAAATCAAACGTCACATGTTAATGGATGATAATTTAGTTGGTACAAACATTAATAATTAATTTCATCAATTTCGTGTTAATTGTGGGTTGGCCAAGACTAATGGGGGGATCCACTCACTTGTATTTGCACTAATTTTGGGAGAATAATTGTTTAAAATCCCAATAAACCTTTTCTATAATTCGAGTTACGCCCGAGAGAGAGAATCGGACAAATCGAATCAGAATTATCATTTTTAGAAGGAAAAAAATAAAAAAATACAATGGGCCAAATATTTGGAAACCTGCTTACCAATTTTCATAATGGGCCAAATATTATGGAATAATGTTAAATTACAGCTGCTTATGAAGTATGGTCAAATTATGAAAAAATCCATCATGTTTGGATAATTACATCTACCCCTCAATTATGAATCTTCTTGTATCTCCACCTTTGTGGTGTCAAATTCAACGTAATTATCTAGATTCCGTGGAATGTTCTCTAGTTTGTACTCGTTTTTTGCAAAAAATACAAATTTTCTGATGCACCACAATCTGATATATACATGCCAAAAAACAAATCTTATGATCATCTAGCTTCAAAATGTGGAGCTCGAACGGGATAAAACGGGTCCAAAATTGAGAATATTCCATATAATGTAGAAGGTTCTACTAAATTTGAAACCGCAAGGGTGGACATGTAAGAAGATTTATAATACAGGGTGGTTGTAATACCTAAACAGGGAAGGGAGTTCGTAATTTGACGATATTAGGGGTGGTTATAATTTACCCTATGGAATAACTGTGTAAAAGCCCAATAAACCTTTTCTATATTCCGAATTACGACAAAGGGAGAAAATCGGACAAATCGGATATAATTCCATGAAATATGAGAATTCCATTTTTTCACCTACAATGAAAAATATCATAATCCTCGGAAATTGAAGTATCATAAAAAAAATTACATTGTTATACATAATATTTAAGTTTCAATTTGATTTTTTTTGCACCAACTTGAAATGTTTAATATTTCAAATAAAAATATTGTTCCAAAACCGACACTTTTCACATCAAAGTCGACGGAATTCAACTTATAAAAAATAAACATAAATACAAAATCCACATCAACTATGTATCTATCAACCATATAAAGAAAATATAAAAATAAAAGTCTCTTCAATTTATATTGAAATCTATTGAGTACAATTTGACACGGTATTATGTACAGATCATGCTATACACTAACCCTCAATCAAGTATCAAAACAAATTAAAAAAAAAAAATCCGAAACAAATCACAAGAGTATAAATTAGCAAGTGTAACCCTAATTAGGGTTTACTACTTAAGAAAATCAAGAAAATTAAATTTTAAAAAAAAAATAAAAAAATAAAATTAAATCTCATAGCTTAGAAAGTTCTTGGTGAAATTCACTATCCCCTTTCCATGTCCATACAATGTCTTTCAATGCTGGCCTAATATCCTCTTCACGAAATTTAATGTACTCCAAAGTGTCGCCGGAGGATTTCGAAAACTCGACAACCGTGACCTCCGGCGCCACTTTGAAAAACTCTGCAGTGACCGAGAGTCGCCCCTTTCGCCCCTCTGTGGACCCCACCAACCTCAATTTGAAATCCTTCAATCGAGCAACCTTATAACCGATTTTCTTCCCCACCATTTCGATTTTCCCTAATGTTACCTTAGCCGAGCATCGAGAAGTGAATGTGGACCCCGCTTTTTTCTGGTCCTCGAACATGGACGAAAGGCCATCAAACCCTATTGACATGGACGAGATTATTTGGAATGCGTTCAAAAGGGCCGGAGATTTCTTGAATTTCTCGTCTTCTTCGTCGAATTCTTCGAAGATGGATTCTTCTTCTTGCATATTGGAGAACGATGTTGCTCTTTTGAAACCCTTTTTAAACCATGTGACCCGCATTATACCCGGAATCGAGATCCGTTTACTCGGATTCGGAATCAGTAACCTGGATACCAACCGCTTCGATTCGGCGGAAAACCACTGAGGGATCTCGTATTCGCCCCTGACGATTTTCCGGCACATGGCGGAGAGATTCGAATCCTGAAATGGGAGATACCCAGCTAGGAGGACGAACAAAATGACGCCGCACGACCATATGTCCGCCTTGGCCCCTTCGTAGCCCTTCTGGCGCAGAACCTCCGGTGCGATGTACGCTGGAGTGCCGCACTGGGTGTGGAAGAGTCCGTCCTTGCATTGGTGCTCGTACAGAGCAGACAGGCCGAAGTCGGAGATCTTCAGGTCGCCGTTCTCGTCGACCAGAAGATTCTCCGGCTTCAGGTCGCGGTGGATGACGCCACGACTATGGCAGAAATCCACCGCGCTGACCAGCTGCTGGAAGTACCGCCGGGCGGCGCCCTCTGACAGGCGGCCCCGGGCTAGCTTGTCGAAGAGGGCGCCGCCCCGTACATACTCCATGACTAGGAAGATTTTGGTTTTCGTCGCCATGATTTCTTTGAGGTCGACGATGTTCGGATGGCGAACAAGGCGCATGACGGCGATTTCGCGCTTGATTTGCTCCATCATTTTCTGGTTGGTGATGACCTCGTCCTTTTTGATGACCTTAATAGCGACGAACTCGTTCGTCGCTAAATGTCGGGCGAGGTAGACTTTGGCGAACGCGCCTTTGCCGAGTACCTTGCCCAACTCATATTTCTCCAACAATATTTTCTTCATCTCCCCCATTAAAATCAACAATATCAAACAATATTTTGCAATAATGCTTGATAATGAAAAAAAAGAAAAAAGAAAATAATCAATGGACTTTACGCACATATGAATGAATGAAATAGGGATGTCATAATTGTGTTGAGAGTGAATGATATATATAGATATTAGCCGATAATAAATTAATATTACAAATTATGCAAATATGTAAATAATAATATTATCTGCATTTATTGAGTTTGGATAAGCTGTAGGGGAAATTAAAAAGTCATAGCTATTATTTTATTAGCTAATTTGCAGAATATTTATTTTATAATTATTTAAGTGGATTAGAAGCCAATTAAGATTAAAGCCAATGCGTGTTAATGTAATTTGATTTTAATTATAATAATTTATCAAAATAGATAGTGTATGACTTAGTGGATTCCCACGAAATATTGTACTTATCAAATATAATTAATTTACATAATTAAGAATTAAGATATAAATTTGCCTGGTTATAAATGGGCTTGCACTTATATATTTGCGTATTTGGAATGTTTCTTTGATTATTAAAACCATTTATGTATTATTTTTGACTTGCAATAATATCAAATATCATATATTTATGTTTTAGTATATGATAATTATAATGATGTCGGGCTGTACGTGACAACAATCTGAGTCGGATTATTGAAGATTAAACATAGAACAATTCAATGAGAAAATAAATTAAATGACTTGCTAAAATAATAATAAAATAAAATAAAAAATAATTTAATTTAAATTTTAAATATGGGCCGAATTAATGATTTTACCAAAGATATAAATTTGGTGTGCTTCATATTGGGCTGGAATTCATAATGGGCTCAACCAAAATTATAGCTGTAAATTGGATCGACCCAATTTAAGTAAATATATATTTGAGATTAGTCCATCTTTTGTGGTATTTTTGAGTAAATTACGGATAACCCCTCAAACTCTTATGATATTGTAATTACAATACCCCTAAAACTAACAATCTATTATAAATTCTAACGAAATGATTGAATTGTATAAATTACGATTTTATTAATCAACCGATTGAGGGTAAATCTGGAAATTCATATCGAGTATTCCATAGAATGTTCAAGTTTGCGTTAGTTATAGTTTTGTAAATGTGTAACTGTTAGATGGAGCAATTAGTCGGAGGTATTTGTGATTACCGATACCATATATGTGGGTAAGCTATTTGGTCATACATCATAGATCCGCGTAATCTACCCTTTTTTTTCCCTTTAATATTATCTTTTGGTAAAATGGCTACCTCTGAGATAAGATCAAATTACGAAAAAACTCTCTTATGCTTGGGTAATTACAACCACCTCATCAACTATGAATAGTCACCTTTATGGTGTCAAATTCAGTGAAATCTTCTAGGTTATGTTGAATATTCTCCAATTTGTTTCCGCTTTACCCATTCGAGCTCCACATTTGAAACAAGATGATCATAAAATATGTCTCTTGACTTGTGAATATCAGATTGTGGTGCATTAAAAACTGCATATTTGCACAAAACGAGCGCAAATTAGAGAACATTTCACGAAATCTAGAAGACTATGTTGAATTTAATACCGTAAGAGTAGACACGTAAAATGATTCATAATTGAGAGGGTAATTATAAGTACCGAAACATGAAGGGTTTTTTCGTAATTTAACCTTACATCATACCTCCTCATTATTTTCACCAAAATGATGTCTAAATTCATATTAAATGCACCCTTCCAAGAAAGCTGCAAATTTTGGTTTCCTCTTCCGCAAGCCAAAAAAAATCTTTTAACCCCCAATTCGTTTAAATACAGCTCCCCCAATTTCAAAGGAATACCAGAATTCACAGACAAATATATAATTCTTAAGATCAATAGAAATCACAGAAGAAACAATATATTGAAGAGGAATCAACAATCGGAAGAAAAAAATGGCGAGCGAGGAAGGAATTCAACAGAAACTCCAAGAATTGCAGAAACAGCTGGGGAAGAAACAGATGTTCGAGCAATCTGTTAACACCATCAGATCTCTTCTTCTACAACATTATCCTTCCGCTTCCCCCAAACTACGGCAATCGGTTTGTATTTCTTTTGGATGAATTTGATTCCGTTTATTAATTTTCTGCGCGCCATCAATGAAAACGTTGCTAAATTAGGGTTTTGCTGGATCCCAATTAATGCAATTGATAAACCCTAGAAATTCGTCGTCCGACGGGTTTTTTTCCCTCCAATTCGTGTTCGATTTGCAAAATTGGAGCATAGCTGCATCCCAATTGATAGAAATGATAAACCCTAGAAATTCGACGTCCGACGATTTTTTTTTTATTTTTTATTTTTATTTCTCCAATTCGTATTCAATTTGCAAAATTGGAGCATAGCTAAGTATGAAAAGACTGCCTGTTTTTAGAATATAAATGCAGTTATTCCCCAATTGCAGAGAGCATTCAGTTTTGCAGAATTGATTATTTAAATTTTATCAAATTCATCAAGTAGAAATTGATTATGTAATCTGATGATTTCGTTTAATGGCTGCAGTTCTACGCAGTAGTATGTCGAGTGGCAACGATTTTGAAGACGAGATACACTTCACCAGGTTTTTGGAACACAGGGCTTAGCCTCTTCCAAGATGCCGAGCAGCTAGTTCCAGAAGCTTCCGAGAGAAAGCACTTGCAAGGTTGCATCTCTCAAGCCAATGACCAATTGAATGAAGTGCAGAACCAATCCGAGGATTCAAGATCCACACGAACTAACGGAGGTATAACATTTTTCCTGTTTCTCATCGACATATATAAGTCCTCAAAGATTGGAATTTTAATGTACAATGTAATAAATGTGCAGGTTATTTATTCGAAGGGCATCTGACGGTGGACCAAGAGCCACCACAGCCCACTTGGTTAGTTCAGTCGAACTTGCTCACAGCCGCTGCTACTTTGTTCCAGGCTGAATCTTCCGGATTGCAATTGGATAATTCTAACACAGGAGATGGTGCGTCGAGTCTTCTTCAACAGCTGGTGGATTCGTTAGATAATATTGTGCCCGAGGTATCTTTTTATTTAATTCCTTCTCTTTCGGGTTTTCCTATTGTTTAAATTATCAATTTGACGTATCAACACTATCTTAATTTCATCGAACACACCTAATGCCTTGTTTGGTTGCTAAAATAAGATTAGAGGAGATAAATTATTGCATTCATATTGGTGCCCGATTGCACAGTTGGTCTAGGAGGGGCTCGATACACAATTTCCTAATAAACACTAAGATAAGAACTGATTAATTAAAGGGTAAATTACGAAAACCCCCCTGAAAACTTAGGCTAAATAACGAAAAAACACCCCCACCTATCCGTAATAACCAAAATCCCCCTCTGGTTAACTGTTGATCGAGTTTTGTAATAGAAAATGTGCACAATCTATTATACCTTCTGTTAAATAGGTGAGAAATAAAAGAAAATATCTGAAATTGTGTAAAGTCTATTTCCTAGAACAAAAAAAAAATCCGTGAAAAATCACGCTGTAAGGGGGTTGGTGTAAGATGGAAACATGGTTTGGTGTTAGAGACGGAAACAAACATCAGGGGGTTTTTGGTAATTACAAATATGTGGGGGGTGCTTTTCGTTATTTAGACTAAGTTCAGGCGGGTTTTGTAATTTACCCTTAATTAAATTAGACAAGATATTATTGCAATCGTATTAGGCCCAAGTCTTGTCGATGTGTGGTGTTTCTATAAATTCCTTAAGTTGACTGTGCCAAGTTTACTTATGTTTTCATCTTCTACTTTATTTAAAAATACGAATTTGATTCCAGATTTCGTTTAATGATGTGTTTTACTTTATACTGATATTGATGCTATTGATCTATTGGTTCAAGATTCTAGATATTGATAGCGGAGCTCCACGAGTGCCGCCTGCTAGTAAGGAAGTTGTGGCAAAGCTTCCAGTTAATACAGTTACACAAGATATGTTAGTGAATCTTGGTAAAGATGCAGTGTGTTCCATTTGTCAAGAGAATTTAGTTGTGGAAGATAAAATGCAAGAATTGCCATGCAAGCACATGTTTCATCCCCCTTGTCTTAAACCTTGGCTGGTAAGATTTCTCATAATTTTTCACAGTTAACATGATTATTGCTGATTTTGTAATTTATTTTTTATGATTTTATTTACTTATTTGATTTTGGTAGGATGAGCATAATTCGTGTCCGATTTGTCGGCACGAACTGAAAACGGATGATCATGCTTACGAAAGTTGGAAGGAGAGAGAGAAGGAGGCGGAGGAAGAGCGGAAAGGGGCGGCAAATGCCGTTCGAGGCGGTGAATATATGTATGTGTAGAGAAACTTTCACACATTTGCAAAATACCTATGGGAATATTTATTACTCTTTTTAGAGCAGTGTTTGTAATTTTTTTCAATGAAGTGTCTCACTGAGATAAATGTAATATTTGTGTTTTTCAATTTCTTTCTTGGTATTTTATGCAGCGATCGGACAATGATAATACTTATTTTATAGGGTAAATTACGGAAAGCCCTGAGGTAAGGTGAAATTATGAAAAAACCCCTTATGTTTTAGTAATTACAACTACTCCCTCAATTATGATTTTTTTTTTTACATTTACACCCTTATATAATGTCAAATTCAATAAAATTTTCTAGTTTTTGTGGAGTTTTCGCTACTTGTTTTGTGTAAAAATACAGTGCATCAGTTTATGATGTACACAATCTGATATTTACAAGTCAAGAAACACGTCTTATGATCATCTTGTTTCAAAATGTAGAGCTCGATTTAGAACGGATACAAGCTGACGAATATTTCACATAATCTAGAAGATCCACTAAATTTTGATGCCGTGCAAAAAGATTCACAGCTGAAGGGGTAATTCATAATTGTAATAACCCACCAAACATAAACCTTGATATAAATAACAAAAACGAAATATAAATTAGTCTTTTATTATAAAAAAAGAAAACCAATGGTCGAGTCATCAAATGTGAGCAGACAATAGTCCACTGGGCAAGCCAATATTAAACAGAATTACAACAGATAGATATTTTACACCGCCGTGATATGTGAATTGAATCCACTGACAAAGATCGCTTTTTCTGTGTCTCAAATATACAATTCATTATTATTATTATTATATATTATTATATGTATTCATATATTATTCTTATTTTCAAATAAATAAATACATATACACTGTGTGTGTGTGTGTAGAGAAGGCGATGATTCGTCTGAATGGCGGTGGGTTTGGAAGTTATCCACAATCAATCAAAACTGTACCTGCAACTTTAATTCATCTTCACTCTTCATTTTCTTTCTATTACAGTTCTAACTTTCTTTTAGAATATTATTATTTAAAAAAAAAAAATTATAATATATATAAGGGTAAATTAAAATACACCCCCTGAGGTATGGTCAAATTACGAAAGTCCCCCTCTTGTTTGAATAATTACAACCACCCACTCAACTCCTCAAATTTAGTGAAATCTTCGAGATTATATGGAATATTATCACTTATGTACCCGTTTTATCCCATTCGAACTCTACATTTTGAAACAAGATGATCATAATATGTGTTTTTTGGCTTGTATATATCAGATTGTAGTGCATCAGAAACTGTATTTTTACACAAAATGAATACAAACTAGAGCACATTCTATGAAATGAAATCTTGATGATTATGTTTAATTTGACACTATAAGGGTGGATGTGTAAGAAAAAAATATAATTGAATGGGTAAATGTAATAACCCAAACAAGAGGGGTTTTTTTTGTAAATTGACCATACCTCTGGGATGGTTGTAATTTACCCTATATATAAATATTTAACTAAGCTTATAAACTGATAAAAAGTGTTTTAAACTCTAAAACTAAAATGTAACAATTTATTATTTCTTAAAATAATTTATTGGATATAAAAATTCATCAGCTATTTAAAATAAGGTCAACCAAATAACTCCCCAAACTAAAACAGTTGTTTGGCAAAAGAGGAGCATGAAATGAAAAAATGGGAATATGAAATAATGAGAGCAAAGTATGGAGCATTTTTGTCATCTTCACACTAATATAATATAAGAGTAAACTGCAAAAAACACCCATGTGTAATCTCCAAATAGCAAAAACCCCTCTATAATAAATAAACTAGCGAACCCCCCCTGTGAAATTTAGTCAAAGACAAAAACCCCCCTGGTTGACTTAAGTGTGGCTCACTCGCGGGTTGCGCGACTGGTAGTAGATTTTTGGACGTGAAATGACGAAATTGCCCCTAAAAATGTACTTATATGTATATATATTTTTCCTTTTAATTTGATTGTTTAGAAATTAAAATATTTTTAAAAAATAGTAAATAATTAAATTTAAAAATTATTAAAAATTTGTTAGTCAAATTAAGTATAAATTTTTTTTAAATATATAATAACGGAATTTAAATTTTCTTTTGATGTAGCGATAATTTAAAATATATACAAAAACTATGTGATAATAAAAACAATATAAATTAAAGACCTCATTGTACCTTTATAATTAAGATATAACAAAAATAAAATAATTAAAATATTTAAATAATATAAGAATTTATTAATTGCAAAATTCCAGGGGTATTTGTGTCTTTTTATATGAAGTCAACACTCAAATAATAAATGGGCCGATCGAGTGTGCTATTTAAATAATTCACTGGAGGGGTTTTTGCTAGTTTATTTATCATAGGGCGTTTTTCGCTACGCAGGGGTACTTTTTGCAGTTTACTCTATAATATAATGGTAATTCTTTATACAATCAAAGTTTCTTTTTATTTCAGCAACTAACTATTATATAAAAAAAATAAAAAAATAAAAAATAGTTGTGCTGAAATTTAATATATATTTATTCTTGTTTATCAAGAGATGTGGTTACAAGTTACAACAGTCAATAGATTGACATATTTGAATATTATTAATTTTAAATTATTTCATAAGGGGTAATGACGTAATTAGTTGATTAGAAATGGAATAGTGAGGTAAGGTGCATGCGTTAGTCGGTTTTCGATTTGATCATGTAACGTAGAGATAAGGAAGAACCAAATTTATTTTTTATATTTATATACCCACTTTATTTAATGTTTTCTTAATTATTATAAACCTCCAAGATATTATTTTCTCTATTATTTCCTCGTCATAAATGCATTTCACTTGAATTATTCAGAATATCATATCAATTACATGCATTAGATGAATTAATATTTTAAGTTTTGGGATCAAATGCATTAAAAAAAAATATCTAAAAATAGTTCGATTGAGAAACTTTTAGATGGTGTATCTGATCTTATGTTGGCTCCACCACTGCATCGGTGATAGTAATTCAAATGCGGTTGAATTTAAGCAACAAAAACCTAAACAATTATTGTATTTTATTAGGGGTATAAATATAATAAATTAATAATCTTGCATACAATAGGCTATATATAGATGATGCCAACACATTCGAATTTATTAAAAATATTGAATATTTTCATCATACAATAGGATAAATAAATAAACAATATAAATGCTCTACCTCGTCTTAATTATTTACACATTATAAAATAGTATACGATATGGTATATTTAGGGTTGGAAACCAAACCAAATTACTCGAAATTGTTAGAGAAAATGTAAAATGAGCTCTTTCTGCGAACATAACGGACGGATTGTGAACTCATATCTAGGTTGAATAAACTATGAAACTCGAATCAAGCTTGTGCTCGATTAGAAGAAAAAAAAACATAACCTAATTGTTTACCTAATCAAGTTGATCGAACACGATTCTTCAAGATCATTAAAATTCAAACAAGCTTATAAAACAACATTCGTTATACGCTCGACTCGATTCGGTTACACATCTATAAATACCACCACTCACTAATTAAAAAACATTTTTCCTACAATATCTAGTATTTAAAATGCAAAAAAGAAAAAAAAATCTAAATTTACACAAAAAAAAAGGAAAAAAAAAAGAAAAAAGAATATGATAATAATAATAATAAATAAAGAAGTAACTGTATTTGGTAGTCAAGAAACTACGCAAGATTTTGATCAATGAAACAACAAAAGCTGCACAGGCCAAATTCAACTCTGATACCTCATCTTAAACTACCCATTCATTAGACCATTTATTTATGGGTAAATTACAAACCCACCCCCGGAGGTATAGTCAAATTAAGAAAAATCCCTCATGTTTGAATAATTACAAGCAACCCCTCAACTATAAATCTTCTTACACGTCCACCTTTATGGTGTTAAATTCAATAAAATTTTCTAGATTTTGTGGAATGTTCTCTATTTTTACATGTTTTTTGCAAAAATGCAGTTTCTGATGCATCACAATCTGATATATACAAGCCTAAAAACACTTATTGCTTCAAAATATGGGGGCTCGAATGCGATAAAACGGGTACAAGATTGAGAATATTCCATATAATTTAGAAGAATGTTCCACTAAATTTGATACCGCAAGGGTGGATGTTTAAGAAGATTTATAATTGAAGGTGCTGGTTGTAATTACCCAAACATGATGGGGTTTTCAGAATTGATCATACCTCAGGTGATGGTTGTAATTTAACATTTATTTATTTAATTTTAATGTTTTTTATCAATGTTTTTGGGATTTATATATATATATATATAAATAAATAAAAATCCCAAAAACATTTATAAATCACTCTCTGTTTATCTATTTCCCCTTGAAAATCAGTAAAGATTGTGAAGTAAAAATAATGAAGGCAAAATCATCAGCATCGTCATCATCTTCTTCGTTTTCATCTGTTGATGTTGAAAAAAAGGTCGATGAACTGAAAAAGTATCCTCATCATTTATCAGCTTCTTACATTCGCAGCCTCGTCAAACAACTAACCTCCTCCGCAACAACAACAACTAAACAAGATCCGTCTGAAGAAAACGGGTTTCTTTCCCGGCACCAAGATCCGACCCGAATCATCAGCTCTACCAACTCCGACGAACAACCCGAAAACCCACCGCCTCAGAAAAGGAGGCCGAGAAGAAGAAGAAGAACCCAAACCAGCAAACCCTACCAAGAAAAGATGCTCAACATGGCCGAAGCCCGAAGAGAAATCGTCACCGCCCTCAAACTCCACAGAAAAGCCCGTGAAATTCAACCGGCCCGGCCCGAATTTCACCCACCGGGCCAGCCTGAATCGGGCTTTTACTCTTGGCCCGTTTCTTGTAGTGGTTTTGCACTCCCGGGCCGGGCTCTGGGCCTCAATCTCAATCTTCAAGATTTCGACAAAACCGCCGTTTTTCAGTATTCCGGCGCCAACCCTCCATCAACTGATCATGAGCCGCCGTCCACTTTCGCCTCCGCCGCAACTCCGGCGGCGGCGGAGGTGGTGGGATTCGTGCCTCCGGCGTTGGATTTCGTGGAGTCTCCGTTCGATGAAGTGATGGAGTTTCCGGGGTGGATGAGTGCAGACGAGAGTGTGAATGATTTCTTACCAGATGCATATTTCCAAGATCGTGCTTTGCCATGGTAATTATTAATTATTAAATATTAATTAATTAATTGAGTTTTTTAGTACAATAATAATCTTTGATATTAGTTTTGATATAACTATTTAATTACAATACGAAATCTATCATGTAATTCTTTTGATATGAAAACATAGGAAATGGTTTCGTTTGTTAATATATAATTATGCCTCGTTTGATTTAATTTTACCTATATCGAATTAAATTAGATTAAATTAATCTCTATTAATTAAGTAATTATTTAGTTAATAACATATTAGGTTCCTTAAATTACATTTTTTTATTAGATTTGTTAGATTATGATAGTACACATGAATTGTCTATACTTTATAGTCTTTTATTTATTAAAATTAAATTATTATTTTAAGGATAAAATTAAAAAAAAAAATTTAATCACTCTCTAAAAAATTAATCGCAGGAAAAAAAGAGTGTTACTAATTTTATGAAGCAGTAGTTTAGTAGCGAACTTCTACTTTAATTGTGGATTTTAGTTGTATTGAATCTTATCGATCAAACATCTGACTAATTTTTACTATTAGTCGATCTAATCTAGAAGCAGCATGCAAACGAGGCCTTAAGATTTTATTATTATAGAGATATATTTAGATTCTGAGTTCTTGTAACTAAATATATATCCTTTATTATAAATTTCAGCATGAAGATTGAAGAAATTGGAGGCATAGATGATGGAGATTGGTTAGCCTAAGAAAGATTGATTCTTCTTTTTTCATATAATCAAATCTTTGGCCTTTCCTTTTTTGAATTTTATATTTTATTTTTGAAGTTTATTTCTTTCTTGAATTATATTATTGCAATGGAACAAGCAACTGAGTAAAGTATCAGATGATGAGGATATATATATTATTTTATCCTCTTTGATTTTTTGTTTTTATTTTTTATTATCCTCTTTGATTGAACATGTCGATTGATTGCTTAGCAAAGCAATCATTGAGATATGAATAGATAGATAGATGATTATTGTTTTTACGAGCTTATAAGCCGAGCGAAACATACTCGTAGTTTTTATGCTCATGATAGCCGATTTGCGATCTTTTTTTTTTTTTTTTAATGTTATTTTAAAACGGGACAATCGAATATTTGCAATTTGCTCAAAGTCGTCTTTCTTCAATCTTGTTCCTCTATCTCGTCTAATTAGCTGCATTCTGTCAGATTCGTTCAGCTATTGCACTTCGTCAATTATGCTCCATCGTGCTCCTCGTCGCTGCGATCATCGAAGCTTTGCCTCATAACCACACACATGTACACACATAATCATGCACATACACAACCACCCACACACAATTACCATAAAATCACTCTTGTTTGTGTAATTACAACCACTCCTCAATTATGAATTTGCTTACCGTCCATACTCACGGTGTCAAATTTAGTCGAATGTTTTAGACTATATGGAATATTATCCAGTTTGTAGTAGTTTTACCCCATTTCGAGTTCCACATTTTGAAACAAGATGATCGTAAAATGTGTGTCTTGGCTTGTAAATATCAGATTGTGGTGCATCAAAAACTACAAACTAGAGAACATTTCACGTAATCTAAAAGATTATGTTGAATTTGATACTATAAGAATGGACGTGTAAGAAGATTCTTAACAGCCAAATGTTTTCGTAGTTTGACCTTATCTCAGGGGCGCAAGTGTAATTTACCAATTAATAGTATCCACACCAAGAACGAGGCATCAATATATTAGAACTAAATTACTCTTTGTTAATCTTTTTATAATTAATTAAAGGTTGCGGCTATATGCAAGACTAATTCTACTTGTGCAAGACCAAATTAAAATTTTCAATGTATAAATACTATAATACCCTTATTTATTAAAAAAATAAAAAATTCCAAATATGCAAGACAAAAAATTCAAAAACACAAAAAACCTTATCCCAAGACCACAAAACCACAAGACCAACTATCACCATCTTTCAAAACTCACAAGACCTTTCTCCTTCCTCCTCCATTAACCCACAAAACCTAGAAATTCAAAATCATCAAAACTCAACAAATCTTACAAAGATGGCAAGTATGGAGTCAGAAGACATCAAAATTGAAGATTCTACGATGGAAGAACCCAAGAATGTATGCATTTATGGGTTTTTTTTAGCTACGATATCGATTTTCCAAAAAAAATCCCGCGCAAACGAATTCGACATGTACAGTTCGAATTTTACAGGTAAAAATCGACATTTAGATGTCGAATTTGAGGTATAAAAGTCGACATTTAGATGTCGATTTTTAGGTATAAAATTCGACATTTGAATTTGTGCTACAAATTCGACATGTCAATGTCGATTTTTACCTATTAAATTCGACGCTTAAGTGTCGATTTGTAGCATAGTTTTTCGACACCTTGGTGTCGATTTTTGTTTTTTTCTCATTATTTGTATTTGGTCTTACATGAGAAAAAAAAAACCAATTTAATTTATGGGCATACTTGTCATTCCATCTTAATAAAATAGAATCTTTTGGAATCTTTCTTTAATTTGGTCTTGCACAAGTGGAATGAGTATTGCATATAGCCGCAGCCTTAATTAAAACGGTCATCTATTTTTTTTACTTCACGTGCATGGCCTAAGGTACTACTGCGAATGCACAAGGTACTTATGGCTAATTTTCAAAGGCAGCAGTATGCTAAAATCTAGTCTATACTCTTAGCTCAATTGTATTATTACTAAGTAATTAAGTAATTAACTAATTAACACATTATTATACGAATTAGTTAACTCATTAATCACATTTCCAATCTGGCGAATCTTCATCCCCATCTTCAAATCCCAGCGCACGATTTCAGATTTCCGCCTGCAATTTCTACCTCTTCATTCCCGATTCTCTGATTCCACCCGATCGCCATTGCTGAGAATTACAGATTACAATCGATTTTGAAAAGAAATGGACGATGAAGAGAGATGGTGCGTGGTGACCGGCGGGCGAGGATTCGCGGCGAGGCATCTGGTGGCGATGCTCATCAAGTACGGCATGTTTTCCGTCCGCGTTGCAGATTTGGGACCCACCGTCGTCCTCGATTCCGACGAGGAGAACGGCGTCCTCGGCGATGCCCTAAAGTCCGGCCGCGCGCAGTACGTGTCGGCGGATCTCCGCGACAAATTGCAGGTCCTCAAAGGTTGTTCGTTCTTCATCATTCGTTTTTGTTATTCAATTTCTAATTTTCTTCGATTCAATTTTCCCCCTCATTTTTAATTTATATAACAAATTCGAACATCTAGCTTCTGTAGTAGTACATACATCAAATTCCAATTAGCAAAATTTCTCAACTTTCATAGTCTAGGCTGTCAAACTGAAAAAATGAACTGTTTGATTGAAAAAGTTTTAATTTACTGCAAATTTCACCTGATAGTTTGAGTTATTTTGATCCTTACCCTGGATAATTAAAATAAATGTTTTCGACTTTTTCTCGGTTATCGTTGACAATGCAGCTTGCCAAGGAGCTGAAGTTGTTTTTCACATGGCTGCTCCTGATTCCTCCATCAATAACCATCAGCTGCATCATTCTGTTAACGTACAAGGTGACGTTTTTGTATCTTCTAGTTTTATCAAATTGTCTAGCCATTTTTTACTATATAACGTGACTTTTCGTTTTCTTTACTTTATCGAACTTTTGGAGTACAGGTACACAGAACATTATTGATGCATGCGTCGAGCTTAAGGTAAAAAGACTTATATATACTAGCTCCCCAAGCGTAGTCTTCGATGGAGTTCATGGAATTTTTAATGGAGACGAGTCATTACCTTATCCTTCTAAGGTATTCAATAGATTACTTTGTCTCGTACAGTATTACCCTTTTATTTAGCTGAAGTTTGATAGTTCTCACTTATGCTTTTGGTCATGCTTAGCTACATTTCATCAATTCCTTTCCATCTAAATCACTAGATTTTATTTCTTATTTAACTTTTGAAGCACAATGATTCGTATTCTGCAACAAAAGCTGAAGGAGAGGCCCTGGTTATCAAGTCAAATGGTACGAATGGACTCCTAACTTGCTGTATTCGACCCAGCAGCATTTTCGGCCCTGGTGATAAATTGCTTGTTCCATCTTTAGTTGCTGCAGCGAGGGCTGGAAAGTCAAAGGTGATTATTATGATTCTTGGTCTATCTTTCTTTCAAGTAAACTTAGAAGTTGTCATTTGAAAGAGTAAATACGTTTAACTGTTACAAATCTCCCCTGAGGTGCCTTTACGTGGAATATGTTACGTGGACCTCTTTACTTAATTTTTTTTTTTTTAAATTCAACTTCTTGTTGACCAAGTAAAGTTCTTAGCTAGTGGGTTTTTTATATTCAGTTTGAGATTGTTCTTTTCCGGTATTATTCTAAGTTCTTAGTTGGTCATTTCCTTTGGTTTTGCAATGTTAATGACAGTTCATCATAGGAGATGGCAACAACGTGTATGATTTTACTTATGTTGAGAATGTGGCACACGCTCACATATGTGCCGAGCGAATTTTGGCAGCTGAGAAGACGATAGCAGAAAAAGCTGCTGGACAGGTAGCATTTTCACATAATTGCCACCAAATTTCGCCTGATTATGAGAGCTGACATTTATAAAATTTTTGAAAAAGATTACGTCATATGCAATGTATCAATTTCGTTCACTTATGAACATAAGAGAAAGTTTTCCGAATATATTATCAGTGAAAATCACCTGTCCAAAATGGCAGCCGATAGCAGAGTTTGTACTGAAAATTCTCTCTTGCAGGCGTACTTCATTACCAATACGGAACCAATTAAATTTTGGGAGTTCATGTCTCTCATTCTTGAAGGTTTGGGTTATGAAAGGTATATTCTGTTTTTTTTTTTTCCGATAGTTTCGTTCATTTTTTGTCTTGTTCTCTCCAGAGAGATCATTTGATGTCAGACTTTTGTATAAAACAATGTGTATATGCATGCAGGCCAAAAATTAAGATTCCAGCCTGTGTCATGATGCCAATTGCTCAAATGGTGGAGTTGATTTATAAAATTTTAGCTCCTTATGGAATGAAGGTGCCGCAGTTAACACCTTCAAGAATCAGACTTTTATCTCGAAACAGAACTTTCAATTGCTCTAAAGCAAATGACCGTCTTGGCTACATCCCTATTGTGCCTCTACAGGTTTACACTTTATTCTATCTTGTTCGGAAAATACCTTTATATTATCTTCTTGGCCACACAAACATTATATACAATCAATGAGTTTGATCTCACAGATTACTTAATTTTGTTTGGTGATTTATTTATTTATTTTATTTATTTGCAGGAGGGACTTAGAAGAACTATTGAATCATACCCACACTTGAGGGCCAGTGTTCAAGCTAAAAAAGATGGGCTGTCTAAAGGTATAACATAAATTTTTTATTACTTTCTGAATTGGGGAGCTTTGATTTAATCGAAAGCCTGAAATGAATAATGTTTGTTGAAATTTCGGAAAAAAATAAATAAATCAGGTTCCGAGAGTCTACTGTGGAGGAAGAAGAAGCAAATCATCAGTGTAATGTTGATACTGGCTACATTTTACTCGAGTTTCGTAGCAACTGGAAATACCACTGTTAGTGCAGTTTCGAAGGTTCTGTTAGCAGCATTAGTTTTACTCTTCATCCACGCCAAACTGTCCTAGAAAATATAGGAATCGTAATCGCAATTTTTTATTTTTATTTATTTTTGTTTTTTATTTTTATTTTTTATTTTTATTTTTTGTGTTGTCCATTAGAATGTGTTATGGTGCATGCATATATAACATTTTCAAGATTTGCAATTGAACTGAATGTATACGAATTGTAATGGCAAACCAAAACCAAACAAGGCCTTATTCCATTCGGAAAGTGCACCGTCTACACAATCTTCTTCTCTATTCAAGTAATATTAATTTCAAAACTGGTACTAATTACTCTTCATATAAATAAACCTTTCACAAGCTTCTTCGATACTACAACTACTACTACTACTACTACTACTATCAAATGCAATTGAATTAGCAAAACAATTTTGTTGGCCTTTACTCAACTTAGACAGTACAACAACGACGATGAGTTAAGAACACTGTGGTCAACTTTCATTCGAAGGCCTTTTCACAATGGCCAAAGGCTGAATCTTGAATTTAGGAAGCACCGATTCAAACTAATAAAAACTACCTCACCACTACCTATTAGTAGTCCTTCCTCCAATTGATTCTTAAATCCTTTCATTCAAACCGAAGATTGCTATCTCTTTTCATCTCTCATCTTCGTCACCTAGAAGCCACGCCTCCCCACCTCTTCGATGTGATCGGCCGCAAAATCCGTCGTCTGGCCCATCCAAATCGAATAGACTTTCAGGAAGAAAAGAAAAAGGAAACCGAGAGAGATGAAAACCCAAAAGCAACCATTGTCTAAAAGACTCTACCCATCTAACCATACGAGGCTGCTTTTATAAAATCGAAAGACGGGCCAAAAAAACTCCCTACCCATATCAACAAAGTCAATTTCTTGACTAACAACATTATAGAGGATGCAAACCTGAGTTAGATAGGAAATATGCAATACCAATACTTGCGCATAATTTAACCAACCAACCGGCCAGAGTGCGAAAGGGCCGGTGTTACAACCACATTCAATGACCAACTCTTCAAATTTCCACTTTCGCCCTTCCAAGTCTATGCGGCCAATCTTTGTCCATTCCCCGTTTTCTGGTTTTGTCAACTCCCAAACATCCCACGAAAATCCACTACACTGAACGAGCACAGTTAGAGACCTCCCACTCGACAAATAATACATCAATTCTTTCCCATTACAACCTGGAGGTACACGAGTCTCTGTAATAATCTCAGTCTCCACATTCAAAGTCGGGATATGAGTGCCTTTTTTCTCTGGCCAATGTAAAAACCCTTCATCGGTCAATGGATTTTTCAATAAAAGTCTCTTAGTATCGGGAGATAAGTGTTCGGTTTGAACATACCTCCAAGAGCTGTCAACTCCAACAGTCAGTATAGCGCACACTGTTGACTTTGAAGTCTTATCTATACCAGGGCAAACCACTTTATACACCATTGAAGCTGCAGTATATGCTATAGCAGAACAATGCAGCTCATGCGTAAAGGAGGTAGGAAACGGAGGCAGATAAAAATGTCGATTAGTTGCGGGGTTTGCAATGCAATATTGAGAATCAGCTCTACTGATGTAATGCTCCAATGTCAGACCATTACAACTACTTATGCATAAGTTTGCAAAATCGTAACGGAACCTGGATATCTCGCCTCGGCCTTTCACCATTGATATAAATTAAATGACTGAATATTGGGCCTAAAGATAAACTAGTTGTGGATATTAACATCTCAAAGTCCATGGAAATAGACACGGCCACGGGCCGGTTTTGGGCCCGGAACCGGTCTGAACCGGCCCGTTGACCGAGTGAACCGGCCCGTCCTACCCGGGACGGGCCCGGTTATGAGAAATGGTGAACCGTGAACCGCCGGCCCGGCCCGGCGGTTCACCCGGATTTAAAAAAAAAAAATTCAAAAAAAGAGCAAATAACGGCTAGTGAACCGGCCCGAACCGGCCGTTATTTACTTTTTTTTTTAATTTCCCGGCGGGCTGAACCACCTCTCTGGGCTGAACAACACCCTCTTCGACGTCAGTATCTTCTCCACCAAGATCTTGTGAACCGGTGTCAAAATCGTCTTCGACGCCAACGTTTGCTACAGGGTCGTCGCCGACGGGGGCTTTGCGCCGAGACTTGCCCGGCGGGAATACAACCTTGAATTCATATGTTGAGGAGTCAATTTCCATTTGACACCCCGGTTTCAAATTAATCAAGAGAACCGAGTTGGCAAAGTTTAGCCATGTCTCCCTTTCGGTTCGATTCAGACCATCGTACTTTTCGTTCAATGATGCTAGGGAACGAATTTGTGCAGGATTCAAAGTCATCGATCGAGAAAACCCTAAGAATTTCTATCGACAGTGAAGAAATTGACTGAGGCGCTGAAAGCTGAAAGTGAATATAAGAGGCGACCTAGGGTTTTTTAGGTAAATGATTGAATATTGGACCTAAAGATCAACTAGTTGTGGATATTAACATCTCAAAGTCCATGGAAATAGACACGGCCACGGGCCGGTTTTGGGCCCGGAACCGGCCCGAACCGGCCCGTTGACCGAGTGAACCGGCCCGTCCTATCCGGGACAGGCCCGGTTATGAGAAATGGTGAACCGTGAACCGCCGGCCCGGCCCGGCGGTTCACCCGAATTTAAAAAAAAAAAAAAAAAATTCAAAAAAAGAGCAAATAACGGCTAGTGAACAGGCCCGAACCGGCCCGGGTGAACCGGCCGTTATTTACTTTTTTTTTTTATTTCCCGGCGGGCTGAACCACCTCTCTGGGCTGAACAACACCCTCTTCGACGTCAGTATCTTCTCCACCAATATCTTGTGAACCGGTGTCAAAATTGTCTTCGACGCCAACATCTGCTACGGGGTCGTCGCCGACGGGGGCTTTGCGCCGAGACTTGCCCGGCGGGAATACAACCTTGAATTCATATGTTGAGGAGTCAATTTCCATTTGACACCCCGGTTTCAAATTGATCAAGAGAACCGAGTTGGCAAAGTCTAGCCATGTCTCCCTTTTGGTTCGATTCAGACCATCGTACTTTTCGTTCAATGATGCTAGGGAACGAATTTGTGCAGGATTCAAAGTCATCGATCGAGAAAACCCCAAGAATTTCTATCGACAGTGAAGAAATTGACTGAGGCGCTGAAAGCTGAAAGTGAATATAAGAGGCGACCTAGGGTTTTCTAGGTAAATGACTGAATATTGGGCCTAAAGATAAACTAGTTGTGGATATTAACATCTCAAAGTCCATGGAAATAGACACGGCCACGGGCCGGTTTTGGGCCCGGAACCGGCCCGTTGACCGAGTGAACCGGCCCGGACCCGTGAACCGGCCCGTCCTACCCGGGACGGACCCGGTTATGAGAAATGGTGAACCGTGAACCGCCGGGCCGGCCCGGCGGTTCACCCGGATTTAAAAAAAAAAATTCAAAAAAAGAGCAAATAACGGCTAGTGAACCGGCCCGAACCGGCCGTTATTTACTTTTTTTTTTTAATTTCCCGGCGGGCTGAACCACCTCTCCGGCGGGCTGAACCACCTCTCTGGGCTGAACAACACCCTCTTCGACGTCAGTATCTTCTCCACCAACATCTTGTGAACCGGTGTCAAAATCGTCTTCGACGCCAACGTCTGCTACGGGGTCGTCGCCGACGGGGGCTTTGCGCCGAGACTTGCCCGGCGGGAATACAACCTTGAATTCATATGTTGAGGAGTCAATTTCCATTTGACACCCCGGTTTCAAATTGATCAAGATAACCGAGTTGGCAAAGTTTAGCCATGTCTCCCTTTCGGTTCGATTCAGACCATCGTACTTTTCGTTCAATGATGCTAGGGAACGAATTTGTGCAGGATTCAAAGTCATCGATTGAGAAAACCCTAAGAATTTCTATCGACATTGAAGAAATTGACTGAGGCGCTGAAAGCTGAAAGTGAATATAAGAGGCGACCTAGGGTTTTCTAGGTAAATGACTGAATATTGGGCCTAAAGATAAACTAGTTGTGGATATTAACATCTCAAAGTCCATGGAAATAGACACGGCCACGGGCCGGTTTCGGGCCCGGAACCGGCCCGAACCGGCTCGTTGACCGAGTGAACCGGCCCGGACCCGTGAACCGGCCCGTCCTACCCGGGACGGGCCCGGTTATGAGAAATGGTGAACCGTGAACCGCCGGGCCGGCCCGGCGGTTCACCCGGATTTAAAAAAAAACAAAAAAAAAATTCAAAAAAAGAGCAAATAACGACTAGTGAACCGGCCCGAACCGGCCCGGGTGAACCGGCCGTTATTTACTTTTTTTTTTTTATTTCCCGGCGGGCTGAACCACCTCTCCGGCGGGCTGAACCACCTCTCTGGGCTGAACAACACCCTCTTCGACGTTAGTATCTTCTCCACCAAGATCTTGTAAATCGGTGTCAAAATCGTCTTCGACGCCAACGTCTGCTACGGGGTCGTCTCCGACGGGGGCTTTGCGCCGAGACTTGCCCGGCAGGAATACAATCTTGAATTCATATGTTGAGGAGTCAATTTCCATTTGACACCCCGGTTTCAAATTGATCAAGAGAACCGAGTTGGCAAAGTTTAGCCATGTCTCCCTTTCGGTTCGATTCAGACCATCGTACTTTTCGTTCAATGATACTAGGGAACGAATTTGTGCAGGATTCAAAGTCATCGATTGAGAAAACCCTAAGAATTTCTATCGACAGTGAAGAAATTGACAGAGGCGCTGAAAGCTGAAAGTGAATATAAGAGGCGACCTAGGGTTTTTTAGGTAAATGATTGAATATTGGGCCTAAAGATAAACTAGTTGTGGATATTAACATCTCAAAGTCCATGGAAATAGACACGGCCACGGGCCGGTTTTGGGCCCGGAACCGGCCCGAACCGGCCCGTTGACCGAGTGAACCGGCCCGTCCTATCCGGGACAGGCCCGGTTATGAGATATGGTGAACCGTGAACCGCCGGCCCGGCCCGGCGGTTCACCCGAATTTAAAAAAAAAAAAAAAAAAAAAATTCAAAAAAAGAGCAAATAACGGCTAGTGAACAGGCCCGAACCGGCCCGGGTGAACCGGCCGTTATTTACTTTTTTTTTTTATTTCCCGGCGGGCTGAACCACCTCTCCAGCGGGCTGAACCACCTCTCTGGGCTGAACAACACCCTCTTCGACGTCAGTATCTTCTCCACCAATATCTTGTGAACCGGTGTCAAAATCGTCTTCGACGCCAACATCTGCTACGGGGTCGTCGCCGACGGGGGCTTTGCGCCGAGACTTGCCCGGCGGGAATACAACCTTGAATTCATATGTTGAGGAGTCAATTTCCATTTGACACCCCGGTTTCAAATTGATCAAGAGAACCGAGTTGGCAAAGTTTAGCCATGTCTCCCTTTCGGTTCGATTCAGACCATCGTACTTTTCGTTCAATGATGCTAGGGAACGAATTTGTACAGGATTCAAAGTCATCGATCGAGAAAACCCCAAGAATTTCTATCGACAGTGAAGAAATTGACTGAGGCGCTGTAAGCTGAAAGTGAATATAAGAGGCTACCTAGGGTTTTCTAGGTAAATGACTGAATATTGGGCCTAAAGATAAACTAGTTGTGGATATTAACATCTCAAAGTCCATGGAAATAGACACGGCCACGGGCCGGTTTTGGGCCCGGAACCGGCCCGTTGACCGAGTGAACCGGCCCGGACCCGTGAACCGGCCCGTCCTACCCGGGACGGACCCGGTTAAGAGAAATGGTGAACCGTGAACCGCCGGGCCGGCCCGGCGGTTCACCCGGATTAAAAAAAAAAAAATTCAAAAAAAGAGCAAATAACGGCTAGTGAACCGGCCCGAACCGGCCGTTATTTACTTTTTTTTTTTAATTTCCCGGCGGGCTGAACCACCTCTCCAGCGGGCTGAACCACCTCTCTGGGCTGAACAACACCCTCGTCGACGTCAGTATCTTCTCCACCAACATCTTGTGAACCGGTGTCAAAATCGTCTTCGACGCCAACGTCTGCTACGGGGTCGTCGCCGACGGGGGCTTTACGCCGAGACTTGCCCGGCGGGAATACAACCTTGAATTCCTATGTTGAGGGAGTCAATTTCCATTTGACACCCCGGTTTCAAATTGATCAAGATAACCGAGTTGGCAAAGTTTAGCCATGTCTCCCTTTCGGTTCGATTCAGCCCATCGTACTTTTCGTTCAATGATGCTAGGGAACGAATTTGTGCAGGATTCAAAGTCATCGATCGAGAAAACCCTAATAATTTCTATCGACAGTGAAGAAATTGACTGCGGCGCTGAAAGATGAAAGTGAATATAAGAGGCGACCTAGGGTTTTCTAGGTAAATGACTGAATATTGGGCCTAAAGATAAACTAGTTGTGGATATTAACATCTCAAAGTCCATGGAAATAGACACGGCCACGGGTCGGTTTTGGGCCCGGAACCGGCCCGAACCGGCCCGTTGACCGAGTGAACCGGCCCGGACCCGTGAACCGGCCCGTCCTACCCGGGACGGGCCCGGTTATGAGAAATGGTGAACCGTGAACCGCGGGCCGGCCCGGCGGTTCACCCGGATTTAAAAAAAAAAAAAATTCAAAAAAAGAGCAAATAACGGCTAGTGAACCGGCCCGAACCGGCCGTTATTTACTCTTTTTTTTTTAATTTCCCGGCGGGCTGAACCACCT